TTTTATCTGAAATTCCTATAAAAATTTTATATACAATATATAGTCAAATTATATTTTTTTAATACAAAATTAAAAATTTGAATAAAAATTTTAAAAAATCTAAGAATTTTTGCAAAAATTTTGTATGTCATCTCTTGTCACATTATATTCTCCTAATATAAAATTAAAATTTTTGACATAGAAAAATATAATTCGACATTAGGAATAATAATGTTAAATTTTTTCAGTATATTTCCAGAATAGAAGTTTTTATTCAAATTTTTAATTTTATATTAAGAGAATATAATTTTAGAAATGATAAAACAAAAAGTTCTTTTGGAGTACTTACTTAATTTTTCTTTTTTTTCATATATTTATTTCTACTAAATCGTATCTATAGCAACGAAAAATTTTTTGATCATTTTAATTTAATTCTAATTATGAAATTCGAGATACTTTATTTTAATATACTTAACACATTTTAAGTTATTTAGTAGATAATAAATAAATTAATAGTACATCATGTCTTTCGGTAGATGGCATCTTCAAATCGTTAGTTCTCTCTCTACTATTCTCTACTCAAATCTATAAAATAACCGATAGTGTCGATTACATTAATGGAAAATATAATTATTAAATTAAGAATTCAATTATTATTTATATTTTATTCAATCTTAGTATATAATTTTTATAAATGTTACATTTTAAATATTAAATAAAAGTAATAAAAATAAGATTATAGTTATTTCAAATTTCTTTTATTAATAAGACTATTGTATTTATAATATTGTATTCCCTCAGTTAGAAATTATAGCAATTTTTTATTGCTTTGAAATATTATATTTAAATATGAATATTTATTATTATTATTGAATTTCAATTTATATAAATAATTTATAATTCATTAAAAAAAAATTTATTTAAATAAATTAAATTTTTAATATGATAAAATATAATGAAATTTACGATTTTATTATTTAAAAATATTTCAATCATGTTTACAATACATTTTAATTGTACCCTTCCATTTTTATTTTTTTATAATTTATAAATCAATGAATTGGGATTTCTTATTTTATATATATATATATGTTATATATATATATATATATAACACGCATTTTTTTATAATGCTAACAATATTACATAATATCAAATAAAAATAACATTTGAAGTAATAATAATATCTTGTTTTAATTCTGAACACGCTTATATTTATTATTTATGTACAATATTTCATGTACGTTACTATAAACACATTATACCAAAAATTTTTAATGAAAAGAATTTTTCAAATAACCAGAATCTTCAATCAAATCACAAAACTTAAATCGCAAAATTTTGTTTTAAAAAATTATACACATTAATAAAAGAGAAAGAAAGAGCAGAGATTCCTTTAATTTTCGAACATTATAATTTAATACTATACTTTTGGAAGATCATTTTGAAAAACCATTATTAGTTAAGAAGTTTTACTAAAAATTAAATTCTTATTGGAATGCAAATGAAAATAAATTCATTATTGAAACATTTCACTACATTACATGTGTATACACTGGATGAATACTACCATCAACGTAATAAAAATACATAATTTTCTTTTTTGTTTGTATCGCATCGTTGCACGAGCAAACGTTTAATTAAACAATAGGCACTGCACATAAGTACCTTTGCCTTATCGAACGAAGAAGCAAAAGCACCAGTTTTTTTTATTAAATATTATTTAGGATGATTTTTTAAAGGAGCCTCGTATCAATATCACTTAAAACATTACAATATATGTATGCATGTGTATATATATGTATGTATATTTACATATATACACACTCATTAGTATGTAATACTTCTGTGTGAACAGGTATTGAGCGACCAAGTTCGTTTTATCTTGGCGTTCATTGATTTTGTACAAATCGTACTTTTTCTACTTCGTTAAGCTAATGTAATAACATAAATCCGCAATACAAAGAATATGACTATTCAATTTATGATTCCAATTAGATTTTTATATTAATTACATATAAATATAAATCGAAAGAAATTTTTAATAACAATGTCCATTAATAAAAACTGGAAAATTCTATTTTACGAAGTTGTATTTGTAATTGAAACTTTGGCGATCCGAGAACATGTACATATACATCAAGTAATATTCTATTTATAGTTGAGCGTCGGTTAGTCTTTTACTTTTCAATCCATATTTATACCCTGCTGTGAGTTATTACCCAGGCGCCAACGCAATGAAGCACAATTAATGTGATCTAATGAAAATATAGGGACGTAAAACATATATTCTGATCGTTCGTACAAATTTATACTTGATATGATTTTTTTTGTTCTATTGCAATATCATACTCAACAAATAATTTTTCATTTGGTATCTGTTGATGATAATATGGCTTCTGATGCATTTTTTAAACTACTTGATATTTTATAATCATTCGAAGACTTTTCATTTTGTACCGTAGTAGTCGCTAATTCTGTATTTTTTATGTTTCCTTCGCACTTGATTTCTCTAAAGTTTACAAAAAAATATATTTATAAATATATATTATATTTTATATCATATTTTTAAATATTATAATATCAATATAACATATTTTTTACATACCTGC